GGGTAAATATTTGAGGACCGCTGGCACCGTTAGGAGAGGCTGTGTCTCGGGTGGGCTGATTCTGTGTGAGGCCAAGAACGTCAACTCTACCTCACGGGATCACAGATCAGATAAAGCCAAGAGGATGCTGTGCGTGTATCTGCATTATGTGCGCACAATATCATTCCTTCTTCTATTCAGAAAGGAGTTTTGTGGCACTTTGGGCCATTCCCTTAATCACATTTCCTCCGCTGCTTCCTATCTGTGGCTCCTGGGTTCTGCTCAGCGACATAATTCCACGCTTGCATTACTAATGGAATTCATATTGGAGAATCAAACACGTTTGATTGCCAAACAACTTTGGACGAGCTTGACAATGACTTTGTTTTTTTTTTGCCCCAGAACGAAACAGAACTTACTGAACCTTTCTTTCTGCGTCCATCCCTGTTTATTCCACTTCATTCTAATTCTCAACTCTAAATCTTTCTCCTCCTCCTCATTCTTCACCCCCTCTGTCTCCCTTCCAGTGCAGATCTAGCCAATCTTTGCTGGCGCCAATGCCACTTCTTTCTTTTTCCTCTCCTGAGTCAGATTTATTGCTCCAATGTTTATTTTTGTAACAAATTTGAGTTTTTCCTTTCTTGTGTATTAACATTTCCCCTTTTTCTTCATTTTTAGTAGTAAAAAAGTAGTAAATGATGTGGACTACGCAGCAGGCCTTACTGGATGTAAAGTGTGTTTATTCTTGTGTGCGTCTGTGCATGTTAGTGCGCGATCCAAGCACAGATGTTCTCAAAGGCTCCAGGTTTTCTTTTTTTTTTTTTTTTTGCCAGTAGTTCTGCCTCTCCCCTTGCAGAAAAAGGGAAGTGTCTAATAAAAGGCGGGTGTATCAGATGGAGTGAGTCACACACACACACACGCACGCACGCACAGAAAGAGATCGAGAGAGAGAGTCAGCCTCCCCCGATCCCTCTGAGCTTGTGAGTAGGAGAGAGCGAGGCAGGAAGCAGGGAGGGAGGCTGTGCCAAGCTGGGGCTGAATTCCTGCCAAGAGTCTACTTGTTTGCTCGTCTGGCTGGAGCCAGAGGCTGACCTTATTAGCTGGGAGGGCAGCCGTCTTATTAAAACACATCTGGCGCTCAGGGAGCTCAAATAGTCCTCATATTGTCTTCCTGCTCGCTCCTGACCTTGCGTTACCTAGCAGGAATGCTGACAGGGGCTTCATGCATCTGTTGAGAGTTTCACCAGGGTCCCCCCCCCCCCCCCGCGGCTCCCCCCCCCTTCCCAACTTTCTTCCCTCCCTTTTCACCCTCGGTGGTTTTTGCTGGGGCCCGCCACGGAGCTCCAAGGGACTTGTTTTTTTCTCCCCCCCCCCCCCCCCCCTCTCCTTCCTTTTCCCTCCCCACTTTTTTCCTCAACACCGCCCACCGCTTCTTTGGCCTAAGCGTCCCGGTACCCCCCATGAGACAAGTTTTTTTTTCTTTTTCCCTGGCTTGGTGAATCAAATTATCCCTGTGTGTATTTGTTTTATGTGGGGCTGTCCCGGGCCCCTTTTAAATAGCTCTTTGCTGTTTTCTTTTTTAAAGTGAAAATATTCCCAGTCCTGGGGCCAGTTTTTATTGTCATTTGGGAGAGGGGGGGGGGGGTCTTTCATAAGTACAGCTTCTTACGAGAGCGGAGCAGGAGGTGGACACACAGAGATTCAGGCTTTTGCCGTACATGAACAGAATCCCTGCAGGCTTCACGGTGATACGGTCCAAACGCTTTGTGCACAATGCAAAGCAGGACTTGTGCTTGTGAACATCTTCATTTTGAGCGTTCTGCTTAGTCGCTTGAAAACCACACGGTGATGACAAGACTTCACGCCTGTAAGTACCTTCAAGCTGCTCCAGGTGGAAGTGAAGTGGTCATCTTCACTCACCACTGCGTATTACTCTGCTCTCCAGTATGAATTCACATTAACCGGTTGTTTGTTCCTGCGCTTTTTCAAGGTGCTCAATCTGCATATCTGCGGTGCTGCACTGGTGCTTCTGCTCGTGTGTGCCCTTTAACCCCGCAGGATCTTCTGGCTTTACTCTGCCCCCCTAAATACACCAGACACCCCCCCCATTCCCCTGAAAGCTCCAAGTCCACCAGGTCGCTTGGTTCTGTTTCAACCTCATGTAGTCTCCCTTACTCCCCTCTGAGGTAGAACACGTCGGATATGAAAGTGAGAGAGACGAGGAGGTGAGGGTCAGCGTGTTGATCTCTCTTTTGTGGTCAGTGACTGGGGGTCAAATTTGGGGAATTGGCCACCTTATTGAATAAATGAACAATATCAGATTTGAGGAGCGAACAATGCGTGATCACGGTGACAGAATCACAGGCGCTGTGCTGAACATCTGTTTGGTGCTGGAGTCTGGACTCACTCATCGCACTCATAACATCATTCACTCACTTCCCCTTTCTCTTCTCTCTTCATCCCCTGGACACTGTGCAGCTTTTGTGTTGTTCTGCACTGTCTCCGTGCCCAACAGCTCTATGGACAAAATGTCTTTTCTCACAGAGAGCTGTTGATGTGTCATTTGTAAACGTACCTATGTTCATGCAGTGATTCACATTTATTTCTTGGACTCCACCGAGCGCCAGAATGACTCCCTTTTTTTCTTGCTGCGTGCACTTATTTGTTTTTGTTTTGATCTCTGCTGCAGAACAGAAAGCTGCTGGAGATCTGTGTTTATTTTCATTACGCACACACACACACACACACACACACCCTCTCTTCAACCTCGATTCACTCACGATTGACAAATGATCTGTCATCAACCGGATGCTCTGCTCCGATTGGCTGCTAGCACATTTTGTGTTACAGACATCATTGCAGAAACAAATCTGTCATTGTTGACATACCAATGCACAACCGTGCACACACACACACACACACACACGCCGGGAAACGTGACCTATGACAGCAAGATAGGGGAGAGCGACACACAAACAGAAATCACAGGATGGAACAGCACTTTATTGTGTCGTGTGTAGCTGGTAAAGTGATTAGTGTCTGACCACCAACTCTTTCATCCCGTTTCAACCCACACACAGTCAGCCCAAGGCCTCTGGTAAAAGCTTTATTTGATACGCTACCGCTCCATAATGGAACTTTATTGGCTCCAAATCGTTTTACACTTGTCAGCTGCTACGTTTGTTCTGTTGACTTGTAGAGCCACAAATACAGTATATGCACCCGAGCGAGCGAGCGAGAGAGAGCGAGTCGGCCGGACAGACCCTGCATCCTCTGGGGAGATTCCAGACATTCCTCTACTTCCCTGCCCACTACAAAGAGACCCGTTCCCTAAAGCAGATCGCAGCTCTGCCTCATTACACATGCACACAAAAAGAAATCCTCCTTCTGCAGTGTACAAGATCTAATTACTAAAAGCAAAACCGCTAATCTAAACACCAAAGTAAGATGGATCGATGACCTCGTCACTGAGCAGTGTGTGTCTGTAATGGGGTGAGTTGTAAAGTGGGGGTCGTCCTCCCTTTATTGACAGAATAAATAACAGCGCTTCCTCCCTCTGCTCTCTGACTTTTCCTGTTACCCCCCGTGGTGTGAGGAAGAGCCTCGCCCCTTCCGTACCGCTCTTACTCTGCCTGGCTCGTATTTTTATTTTTGCCCAGTTTCACTTGCGTCATGTACTCGATCCGTGAAAGACAACATCCTTTTTTGCTGAAAGCGTTTAAAGGGAAAATTGTAAAATAAAAAATTCATGAACGTTATATTAAGTTATATATTTTTTTCATCGACACGTTTTACAAGTATATTCATTAAGGTTTGTTTAAACAGCAAACAAATTATACCAAAATGGCTTTACAGGACATGTGTGTGTGTGTGTGCTCACATGTGTTTGTTTATTTGTGTGTGTGTGTGTGTGTGTGTGTGTGGCGGCCTGGTCCTCAGCATGGGAGCAGCTGTTCGGAGCAGTGCTGGCCACACACACATGTGTCTGATTAGCACTGTGTGACTCCCTCCTTTCCTTCCTCCTGCCCTCCCTGCTCACCTCCCTCCCCTTCCAGTGGGGGCCGCGGCACGCTGGCGGCACCAATAATTTTAATGCCTAGTCTGAGTCTGCTAGGAGCACAGGCATGCAGTGCGCAACCACACACACACACACACACACTGACACACACGCTCCCGCGTTGCACACAGACGAGCGCTGACACACACACACACACGCTCCCGCGCACGCTCACTGCACACTGACACACACAGGCAGAGGAAGCAGAAAGCTCTCATGCTTTGATCTGTTCTTTTCCCTTTTCCTCCCCCTCTCCCCCCCTCTGCCTCCCCCACCCCTCTCTCTCTCTCTCTGTTTACCCCTGACCTTCTCCTCCTCTTCATCCCTCCCGCGCCCTCACAGATGTTCTACCTTAACAAGTTCAGAGTTGACTTGTGGGGGTCTTCATGTCCTGTACTGCTGTACACTAATCCCTTTTTTGTGAGGGTTATATTTTATTTTTGCCTCTCTTATCTTTGCTCCTCCGTGTCGGTCTTTTGGCAGATCCGTCCTCCTGTGTCTTTGTCTGAATGGAACAACTTAAACTTGTCATTTGTCTAACAGCAATTGCACTGCAGCAACATAAACACATTGTTAACTATCTATCCAGCAATCTACCCATCAATCTTTTCTTTTTTTTTTTTTGTCCGAGCAAACATTTTTCTGTGTTGTCTGTGATGCTGGAGTCCAAGAGGAAATGTCTCTCTGAGGCAGATGCCATATGGAACTGATAGCGGAGTAGTGGGTGTAATAACTCACTGCAGGAGATAAGTGTGTGAGAAGGGGGGTGACAGGTCGAGGACTAAAATTGGAGAGCAGGAGGTGGGACAGGCGGGGGGGTGAGGAGCATGAGAGATGGTATCTAATCGGAAGAGAGTGGAGAAACGGACACAGCGAGAAATGCCCAACATGCTCAACGTGACTCCACTTTAAGCATGTGAGACGTTTGTGTGAGTGTGAAAGAAAGATGCTGAATTACGTTGTATTCCTGCCGTAGAATTTATTTGCAACCACTAAGAAGATGGAAATGTATATTTCACAGATATTGAGGATCTCTCTCGGATCCTCTGCAGAGCATGTGCGATTGTTGAGCAGCTACAGAAGGAGCGAGTGGAGATCGTCTAGTTCATTCATCTTGGATTGTGTTGTCGTCTCTTATGGATGCCTGCCGCAGGAAAGTCAATGTTATTTATGTGAAAGGACTCTAAGCACAAAGCACATGGAATTTAAGTGAATGTTAAGGTTAATGTGACATCAGTCATTCAGACGTTCATGTTCCCGAGTGCTCGTGGTTTTGGCAAGCTGTTAGGAATCGTTATGCCATTACAGCACATTTTGGAGTGTGTTCCTTTCTGTCTGTCTCTCCATCTGTGTCTCTGTGTCTGCATCCAGTTAGAGAAAAGATTGGTAGCCTGTGGCCGACTCCAGAGGTCTAAACCGCCGCCGTCTGCCGTGGCTGCGTGGTTGTTGAGTGCAGTCTGGACAGACTGTTTGTCCCTTTCCTGCTGCTGGAGACGTCTTATCTTTTCTCAGTGGCATGTTGTGGAATTCACATCTCTGCATTTTCATGAGTGGAAAATGAGTTTGGCCTTTTTCCTTCTTTTCGTTTTTCTTTATAGACCTTCAAATGGTTGTTACACGATGCAAGCGCTTATCTGTAATGTTATCATTAGCCACTAGATGGTGTCAGTGCTCCACCCAGATAGGAATTGATGCTTGACGAAAGCAGAAGTGGGGAACTCCAACTGATGAAAATGGAGGCTCCAGTAGTTATACTGGGAGGGAATGGCGACAGGTATACTGTATTTTAAAGCAGAATGCACAGACTTGAAAGTGTGTGTGCGTGTGTTTGTATTTGAACGCCAATTTGACAGTGCAAAGAGTCATTCTGCACCACTGGGTGGCTTGGAAAGTGTGCATTAATATATGAGCGGTTGTGAGGAATGGGGATATGGAACAGCTGTTTAAATGCTTAGTACAATAACTGCAGATGTGTATGTGTGTGTGTGAATGTGTGCATATGTGCACATGTGTGGTGTATGGTGTCATCACTTGGGCTGTGTTGTGGTAGACTTTCGGCTCCACACACCAGGCAAGTCTGTAATTACTCAAGCCAGCGCTCATACACACTGTAAGCTTTTAGCGTCTGTGGTCCCCCCCCCCCCGTCACACACACACTCTTACTCCCTCTTTCTTTCCTTCCTTCCTAACTGCCTCCTTATTTCTCGCCGCTAAAATCTTCCTCTGTGATTCCCAATGTGGTCCCATTTCTGGTTTGGCCTTGAGATCTGTCTCCTGTGTTTTGGAATGCATCGATGCTTCAAGCCAATTCACCCTCATGCTCACGCTTCAGTGGCAGCCTACACACACACACACACACACACACACACACATACCTTTGTGTATCTTAATCCTCTTCTGACCAACGTGACCCAGCCAACAAGTCAATTACGTGTGACTCTGTTTAAATCCACGTGTTTTAAACAATGAGCTAACGCCATTGTCCTGTCAGCATGAAACGATCCCCCCCCCACTCCGCCCCCCCGAGTTTCTATACTCAACACTCACTAAATAAAATCTCAGATCTACATATGATCATGCAAGTAGGAGAGTGCCTTTGTGTGTTTGTGTGTGTATCTGTGAGAGTATCCCTGTGTAGTTGCTGCCAGCAGCCATCAGAGGACAAGAGGCTAAGCGACATCCTAACCCGTTTGAGAGCCTCCCTATCTCTCCTCACACAGACCGGGTTTCTGGGCTCACACACACACACACACACACACACACTGATAGAGGAGAATACACACACTGTGCATGCACGCGTGCTTATGCGTTTTGTTCATGTACATCCCTTTTTGCTGTGCTTGGTTCTCACACACGCACATACAGATCTCCTCTCCCAGCGTGCCTAAACTAGATTAGTGTGTATAAAGGCTCATAATCCCTGCTGCCTCCCCAGCAGGCAGAGAGGAGCCTGTCCTCCAAATTAGGTTGGCCTCTGTGGGTGATGAGTGGCTGCCAGCAACAAGGGTCCACTTTATATATATATATGTGTGTGTATGTCTGTGTGAGAGTGTGTGTATTTCTGCATTAGGTTTGAAGCACACGTCTCCAGCTGCTGTGTCACACGTAGACATCCGCCCACAGACTGAACAAAGGAAGGCGGTGCCATGAAACCAGTGGCACAGTGTTGGTTGACCCAGGGTTGTAACGTACGGCCTGTTCGTCTCGGTAAATACCTCGTGGCAGGACTTGGCAGTTGACTGTCGCGAAGATAAACTTCACAAAGGTTATGCCAACATAGAATGTCTTCCGGCTAGGCCCATTCTCTTGGAGGGAGGTGTTACCAGGATGTAAAAGACACAAAATCAGCTTTTTTTCTTTTACCTCTTCTCACTTTCTTCAGCTTTCTTTGTCTGTGCAACTGGTACATCTGTTATAGATCAATAAAAGGGCCCCCTCTTTAGTCTACTGCTGTATGCACTTTGATCTTTATTAAGTGTTTAGCTGGATTTTAGTTTTCTGCTGTTACTCTGTATTTATACCATCACAGTTAATCCTTTCTGCGGTTTCTCTCTGGTTGTCATGCTACGGTTATGTGGGTGTGTGTGTGTATGAGTGGACGGGTTTTTTGCGTCTGCTATTTGCCGATTCATGTTTGAACCGTATGAGAAGGATGTAAGTTAACGCCCTGATTTGGAACTGATATAAAAGTTAATGTATCCTTTAACAGTATGGTTCACATGCTTGTGATTGAAGTCTGACTCCATAGTGTACATGTAATGATATCTTAAGTGGATCTTTCAATATCCCATCAAATTTGCTTTAGTGCATTTTCAAATTCCTCTGAACAAACTCTGAATTATGGTCTATCTGTCATCCAGTCCAAGTCTTGATGATGTTGTGCATGTTGTCCTTCTGTTACCCTCTGTGCTGCTTATCATCATGATTCAGCAGGCTGACTGTTACACCAAGGCTGTATTAGCTATGGGGCAGCACTCTTTGGGGTCTTTAGTGTGCTAATACTGAAGGGCCCATAGGGAAGCACAGTAATTGGTCTTTATTTATGCTGAGTGAAGGCTATGATTAACTAATATCACCCCTGAGTGTGTGTACACACACACACACACACACACTAACACACATACAGCACAGCCAAATGTATCTGCAGTCACACACGCACATGTGCAGATCCCCTCATATAGCGTGTGTGGTGGTGAGATTGAGTGCGGTTGAGTATTGAGCTAATCCCTGGTGGCAGGCTGGAAGCTCTATAAAGCCACTGACAGGCAGTTTAAAAAAAAAAAAGGGCATATTGTAGTTCACTTACAGCACCACAGTGACTTGCTAGAGGACCGGTGATACAACAAATATAGATTTCTTTAATGATTTTTGAAACAGCCCACAAGTGAAAGGACCACAGCGTGTCAAATATGCATTAGTTCTCCCAGGCTGTGTTTATATGAGCATGCGGATTACACCGTTTTCACCACTGTGGAATGCCGTTAAACTGCCAAAGGGCTCAATAGCATGACAATGAGAAAGGAAGGGCGTGTGCGTTTGTAAATGTTTGTGCTTATGTGTTGTTTGTCTTTTTCTGCCGCTAATGAGTCGAGGGCAATAAGAGCTGTGAAAGTAGTGCGCGTTGGGCTGCGGCATAATTAATGTACATTCTCAACGGGCACTACGGGTCATCCACCTTCGGGCCCTGTTGCTCCGCCTCTGCATATGTGACTGACTCGTGTCTGCGCGCATGCGTGTGTGTGTGTGTGTGTGTGTGTGTGTTTGCCTGGCTATGTTTTGGCAAAGCCGCGGTGTCCTCATGTGTTTACTCTTATAGTAGAAACTGAACACTGGGCTGTAATCAGAGCTGCAGTCAGAGGATCACAACAACAGTGTCCCTCATTATGGCTCCAGCAGATCACCTTTACCTCCTGTGTGTGTGATTATGGTTGGTTCCTCCCCCCCTCGAAGCCATACAGGCAGCAGTGGCAGCTGTCGGTGTAAGCAAAGAGATCCGTGTGTGTGTGTGTGTGTGTGTGTGTGTGTGTGTGTGTGAGCCTGCTTGCTTGCATAAGGTGTGAAATACAAAGAGCTATGCTACTTTTTTAAGCTCTGATGGGGTCGTTTAGATGTCAGGAGCTTCCTGTTGGACACATTCTTTAAATGCACAGAAGCTGTTATGATGATGTGCACTTATAGACAAGGAAAGCAATTTTCGGTCTTCACCTTGACGTTGGGGGCTGTACATCGTGAGAACATTCACAGATCAAGATCAAGAGGTAGGGACGTAGTCTATGAAAGGTTTTGAAACTGATAACCGTCTTACCACAAGAGTAATTGCTGCTACTTTGTGAGGCTTAATGAGTAAGTAAGGGTGCTTTGGTAGTAACTCTTCCCTGAGCTGCTGCTACAGTTCTCAGCAGCAAAGCATTTCCCTGGAATCCAGGTTGTACGTACCCATCAATTTCATCTGCTCCCAACTGATTTCCATTATTGAATTAGGATAACCTGACCCTCCTCTCCCCTTCTCTCCATCTCTTCTCATTCTCGTTTCTCGTTTTTTTTATTTATTTATTATTGCATTATCTCCGCCTCCCCGACCCTCCCTCCCTGCTTCATGTGGCCCAGTAATGAGACAGTGACAGATTACCGTAAACCCTGCTCTCTCTATCTCTCCACCCCCTCTCACCCTGAGATAGAGACTCGCAATGAGCTTCAATTTGTGTTGATGCGCACGATACGTATGAAGTCCGTGGTAAGCTCAGGGGACGAGCTGTGATACGGTTCACGTGGTGCAGATTCTGTTTCTAATCCCTTGTTTGACATTTAGTCCCGATTCTGCAGGAGAGCCGGCAGGTAGACTTAAACCAGAATTCGACATCAGCAGGGCAACCGTGGATGTGATACAATGAACAACTTCATGAGACGACATAAGCTGACAGGGACTAAACATGGACCCAAGCCAATGCAATTTTGTTAGTTCATTGCAACATTTTCAAAATATTAACGATAAAATAGTTTTATGTCAAAACACTTTATTTAAATAAAGCCATTTACCATGAAAACCAATGTGAGAGAGAACAGTTATTTGAGTAGATGTGTGCCATTGCATGCTACATCTGTAAATATTATATGAGGAAAAAAATACACTATTAAAATCACACGGCTCAGCTGCTTCGGCACTGTCTTTAAATTACAAGGGGTCTTCACTCTTTTTCCCTGTTTTTCCCACCCAATTTCTCATTGGGTGGGAAAAACATCTCACTCGTCCAATATGTTCAGGAGTCGTCCTTCTGTGGTTGGAGTGTTCATGCTCAGTATGTGTGCATGGCCATATGAGTATTAGTGTGTTTGAATTTCTGAGCATGTGTTGGACTGTGTAGAAGAGCTTCAGTAATCCTATTGACAGAGATGCAGCTTTGCTTCAGCCACAGCAGCTGTCTAGTTGCAAGCGGGGGGGGGGGTCCAGTTCTCCTCGGCCGCGGGGGGTCGTCTTCATGTTGCTGTCACTCTCATTGACCTGGGTCTCTGTCATTAAAGGCCTTTTATATATTTCTCTCCCCTCTCTGTTCCTCATTATCTTCATCTTTTTTTGTTTTATAAGACTTCAATGGCAGTCAGTCACCTTCCTTTGTTCAAAGTGTTTAATATGTGGTTATACCGCACACACGCACACACAAACAGTCACACCGCCCTGCAGTGGTCTTCTCCGCCTCTGGCTCAGTGCTGTCTCTCTGTCTCACAGCACACATTCATTGTCTAATCTTCCTCTATGTTTAATTTACAGCCTTGGCTGCTGCTGCTGCCATATGCTCCTTTTGTCTCTGCCTACTACCACACTCTGAAAACACACACACACACACACACACACACACACACACACACACACACACACACACACACACACAGCTCTGAGTAGCTTTGCCTCAACCTTCAGCATTCGAAAAGAGCAATAAAAAAAACAACCATGCCAAAGAAAACCTGCACCTACCTGTTCAGCAGCACTGAACACTGTGTGTGTGTGTGTGTGTGTGTGTGTGTGTGTGTGTGGTGTTCCTGCTGTCTTCGTTGTCCAAGAATACAGCGTGAGGCGCAATATCTTCACACAGGCTGATATTATGTCTTTCATCCCTTTTCTGTTCCTGAGGAACTTGTTGTCTGAAAGGTGCAGTGTTTTAGCAAAGCCTGAATATTCGTACCTAATAGGTGTTTGCCGTATATCTACGCACAGGGCGACCAGAGGGCAGGGCTCGCACCCCGTGCCCAGCCACGGGGCAGCTAATGTCACGGCGACGCATAAGCGGGCCGTGGACGAGCAGTGGCAGGTCCTCGTACCCGGTGCTGCCGCGTGGAGAACCCCCCCCCCCCATCCCTTTGTCACGGCCGTGGCTCTGCGGCTGTGGCTATTGACTTAAAGTGCAGCGATGCAACAACCTATTGGGAAAGATAATGAGCCGCGGCGACAGGAATTTAAATACAGATGAAGTGGCGAGGGCAGGAGGTTGAGAGGGTCACACAAGTGGACCGAGGGAATGTTTCCTGTTTTGCCTCGCTCCGGATGAGAGTGAATGCGCTGCGTTGTTCTCTCACTTTGGTCCATGGCCTCTGCAGCTTTTCTCTTCCTCTATGGTCTTTTCTCTCTCTCTCTCTCTCTCTCCCAGGCTACTTCCCTTGCCCTCCTGGCCAGTAACACATGTTGTGAAATGACGTATTCACACAGTGAGATGCTTTCAGCATCGGGTGTGCATTTGAGCGGGACACACACACACACACAGAAAGAGAGGCTGTGGTTAGCGGGGCTTTCTCTCTGGCTCCAGAGGCCCTGGCCAAGTCAGCGGTGAGGTTTGGCTCACTTGTTCACTACATTGCGCACACACCGGCTTGCACACACAGAGACACACATGCAGCCTCTCTGCCTTTTCCCTTACACCTCTCTCTCTATCTCTCTCTGTCGTGCACTGACCTTTCCGAAATAATATTTTGACTTTCGCCACTCTCTTTGCTTCCTTTCCCCCTGGAAGTAGATCACAGCTCGATTTTAAATGGACCGACTGTGTCTGTCTTTCTCTAGTTCCTGCTGCCTCTCTTTCTCACCCACCACGTAGTCACACACACACCCAGAAAAAAAGACCACAGGAAGAGTTCCTCCCCGTGCTTAATGAGCGACATTTAGCAGTGAGTACAAGGAGTTCGAAGGGATTGATCTTGTTAAGCCTGAGGACACACTCTCTGCAGGACAGGAAGGGTTTGGTGAACAAGGTAATGAAGAGATGAGAGAGGGGAAAACAGGTGAGGAGGTGTGATCAGGAGATTAGGCTCCTTAATGTGGTCACTGGGAAGCTATTTATGCCGTTAGAATACATCTCACACCCCAAAAGATCCAGACGCGATCACTACCAGGTGGGCCGCCATGGCGAGGGAGGAGGGGAGGAGAGAGTGAGGAGGGAGTGGAAGGATGTGATGGGTGGGAGGGATTGAGATGGAAAGAGCACTGATGTATGAAGTTGAAGCATTTTATGGTTGAGTTCTGCCTCACGTGGCCTTTACATGAGCCTGTTATGTGCGTGTTGGTGTGTAACTGTGTGTCTTTTGTTTGTGCGACATTCTTGCTAACCGCACCTAAGGACCAACCTAAGGACCACCGTCGTGCACGGTTGACTTGCAAGCACAGCACAGCACTGGGTGTCTGAGACTCAGAGATAAATTAACCACAAGAATCAACAATCTTTCCAGCTAAATGTGTTCATACTATCTGAGGGAAAACATGCTTTTATGTGAGGGTTTAGGACTCAGAATGGGATTGCAACAGCTTTTTTATGTCCAGGTATAAAAACATATCACTGTTTATAAAAACTACAAATAAAACACTACACTTCCCAAGATAGTGGGTGGAGAAGCAGAGAGAAACAAAGGTTAGGGTGGTGAGGGTGGTGAGGGTGGAGGCTTATGGGTGGCTGAGGATACAACAGCGTACCGTGTCAAATAGAAACAAAGAGGCTCACTTTCTTTATTCTCTTAACATCTTTTTCCCTTTTTTCTGCAAATAGAAGCATGCAGACATCTCATGAATATCCCACATTTCACTGTTAAGCATGATTTTAACTTCAGACCGGACCATCACACAGCACGTGCTGCACGAGCCACAACTTGACAGGCTTCACCATCTGCACCGCTGTTCTCAGATTATGCAACAAGGAAATGCAAATTATGTCAGCATCAACATGTCCCCCAAATCTGTGATGTGGGAAATTAATCCCAGTCACCTCCACTGACTGTTAGTATCTAAAAAAAAAAAAAGAAATGGAAAAGAACATGGGGACATAAGATTATTGCGTCACTCTTAGTTAAATGGGTTATCTTCTTCTTGCCTCTGCACTCCAGAAGCAATTTTGGTTGGAATCCTTCCTCTATTTTAGTTGTAAATTTCCTGATTTCAATGGTTGGAAATCATTGAATGTAGGTTGGCAATGCATATTTATCCCCAATTCGGATGTGTAATGTAAAATGCCCTCTAGGTCTGATCATCGACAGACAAGCGATAATGGATCTTGCGTGTATCATACATGGAAACTGCGGTCATGTGATGTCGGTGGCCGTCTATTTGTTGTTATCTCTGCAATTGCCGGCTTGACGCGGTGATGAGTGTTTGAGCATTAAACATGCATGGATGCATAGCGTGTGCGCACACACACACACACACACCTAAATTTCTTACAGCTGTTAAATGTAACACACACACACAAACGCAGACACACACACACTGTGATAAATCTGTGTCCTATTCTACCAGCTGCTCCCCACATTGCTGCTGTGTCTTTCTTGTTGCTAGGATACATACACACTGACGGAGCAGCTCACCCCTTGTCACACACATTTTGTTTGTGCCCGTACGCTGACACAGTGTCACTAATTGTACGCACAAACATGCACCTGAGCACACACACACACACACACATTATGGGGCCGTGATATCAAGAGAATCAATTATATCACAGTTGTTTTTACTTACCAGAGGAGCATTCTTTGCATGTTAGTGTAAAATGTAAATTATAATGCCAGTGGCCAAATTAGCTCATTAGCATTTTAATTGATTAGAAAATGTGGCAATGATGGGCTTCTCGCCCTCTTACCTGCTGTTAACTCCCTGGATCAGAAGATGTAAGGCGGAGGGCAAATTAGTACCATGAGGGGGCGCTATCTGTCTATCTACCTCATTGTTGTGACGGTGTAGCATCACTTCCTCCTGCTCACTGGGGTTACCTCAACAGTAGCTTCCTCTTCTCTTTTTTTACTTCTCTGCTTGTTGCCCACCCTGTTTTTTTATTATCTTTTCCTAAGCTTGATCTTCTCTGCTCAGCCCGCACCTCATATTTCCCTTCATGCCTGCCTCTAGGTTCCTTCCCTGCCTTTTCTTTTCATCCTTACCTGCCTCTCCCTTTACCTCCTACCTCATCTCCTTCTCAATACACCACATGCCTCTCTTCTAGTACCCTACATCACTGCCAATTTATCGCCTTCCCCTCCTCTCCTCTCTCAATTTTTCACCCTCCCATCACGCTTTCCCGCTGCAACAGCATATGAGATTCCCCTTCCCAGTCTCCCTTCATCTCTCCCTCCCTCACTGGACCCCTCCCCCCCTTCCGTTGCTGCATGCATTCATCACTCTTGCCCCTCGGGGCTTTGTTCTGCCTTAATCATGAGCTTAAATGTTGCATTCTCACCCAGACAATGCATGCCATTCAGTCTGGGCCTGTGTAAATAGGTGTGCCCTGTAAGTGCGCCAATGGGCATGACAGGCCAGCCTTGCTGCGGTGGTGGTGATCAGCCGTAGCCCCCAGCTACAGGAGGCACTGCTCCATTTGCGCACACACACACACACACACACACAAACGTGCTCACAGACGAGGAGGAGGAGCAGCAGGAGGTGGTAGAGCGGAAACTTACCCAAGGCAGCCATACGAAGGCACGGATGGCCAAAGCAACACTGACAAAATGGGCATATGCACATAGAAACAAATAGCCTTCTTCACATGGAGCGCAAAGAGAGGGATTCTTTTCACAGTGAGCCATTTGCCTACCGTTCTTTATCGGGCATTTACTTTGTAGTTCCCCTGCTTCTGCTATCTGTATTTCTTCGGCGGAAACCACCCTTTGCAGCGTTTGTTGGTGGAGTATCGAAATGGTTGGATATTGACTGGAGAGTTGTGTGCGTAGTGGCTTCGGGAGACCAGCAGCCTGTGTCTTGGCCACCTGGCATGCTCTTTCTAGGAGGCACTGCAGGCCTCCAGCTGGATGATGCTCGCTGTCACACTGGTGTGTCAAATTCAGGCGAGCCAGCTTTCTCCCCACACCTGCCCATCTGTCTGCATTCACCATGGCGCTATACCTGTAGATGGAGAAAGAGACCAGTAGGGAGAGGGTGACAAACATACTGTATGTCAGGAAGAGAGAAGCCTGAATGTACACAAACAAAGACAGATTGGAAAGTACATTTGATGTGCATCTTACGAACAAACCGAATCTCGGTAGTGTACGACCACCTCGCCTTCAAAGGAAAGCTGTAGGTTGAATGTACAACGAGAGAGTGGAAGAGCCAGAGGGTGAGAGATGATGAAATAGAAAAGGGGATGGACAGACACACTAACGGGCAGTAGGCAGACAGCATGTGAGAAAAAAAGAAATGGAGCCCACACTTGCCCATGCTATCTATCCTGCTCAGATGGCCATTTGGGCTTGTTAAGCTATCGCCTGGTAACAGAGACAGCCTATCAACAACAGCCACGCCCCTCTGCACATGCTCATAGTGAGGGACTCATTTGGATCTTTGAAGGGAGAACTCTCACACCACACCAAAATGAAGGCACGTACACACGAATCCTGGCTTGTCATTGCTCTCCATTGTTTGGCTGTGGTTGGCTTTCTCTTGGTGTGACTGCCAGCAGATGGCTAGCACTGAGCTGTCAGAGTCAGCCTGGGGCCCACACACAGGCACACGCACACAGGGAGAGAAACACTCACTCATACAAAGAGTGTCTTACTGCACACACAACATATGCACAGTGTCCTCTGAATGGCTCCAGTGTTGGCTCTTTATCACTCGTCGAGGTCTGCTCATACTTCAGTTTAAACCCTTTCATTCTCTTGCTGTTTTTATGCATGCACGCACGCACGCACGCCTAAAAACACCAAACACAGGCTGTGGAGCCGCTCAGCTACAGGTGCCCCATATGACCCTTTCACTGTAATGTCTGTGTAATCTCATATAAAGGGGCCGCCTTGCAGCATTAGCATGTGTAAAGTCCATTGTGTTTGTGTGTGCGTGCGCATAAGTGAGTGTGTGGAATCTTGCTTCTGCCTCCATCCTTTGCGTCTTTGTGTGTGTGTGTGTGTGTGTGTGTGTGTGTGTGTGTGTGTGTGTGTGTGTGTGCGCAAAGTGTCTCTGTGCTATGTGTGGGTGTGTTTCACAGTGGTTCAATGTGTGTAGCAGCAGGTGTCAGGCCTAATTGAGTGTGTCGGCGCAGTGTAAAAGCAGCTGCCGTGGCCCGGGGTCGTCCGGGGTTGCTCAGAGGTGAAAGGTCAGGGTTGGGGTGAGGAGTCGGCTGTAGCTACATGACATTCCTCCACTCACTAATCGTAGCTCTGATGAATGCCTGCAAAGTGGCAGCTGGTAGACAGGAGGCGTTGTGTGTGGCGGTGTCAGAGGAATAGAGACGAGTAGACGGGAGGGGAGGGGAGGGGAGGAAAGACAAGGGGAGGAAAGGGGAGGAGGGTGCACGCACGTTCATACAAACAAGCACGGCACGTATTGACTGCACAGGGCTGTGATCCTGAAGACGCTTTTGATCAGAGAAGACATGCTCAACAACACAGGCTTTTGTCAATTCCTAAAAAAACTTCAAACATATGCACAAAAACCTCAACGCACGCCCAAAGGCGCACATACACGCATCGTCATCCTCTCTCCCGCTCACACACACACAGTTTGTTGTGTCTGCAGAAAGCTGGGACTAATGACAGGCTTTGTGTTTTGTGTGCTCACTCAGCTGCCCCCTGGACACACTTTACCCACCCAGCAGAAAACCGCCCTTTGTGCTCTGCTCTCTCTTTCTTCTTCTCCATCTTGTTCTCGCTGTCTCTCCACTTTCTTCTTTCTTTAGAGAATTGAGTTGTTTTGCTGTGCTCTGCTGTAATATATTACCTACTGTATATATTTTCCTGGGTCCCGACAAAAGATATATGAGTGCAGGATTGTTTTTGGCTGACACCACCTTGGCTGCACGTTTACCACTAAAAGGGAACAATATAGCCTGTAAAATCTGAAAAATAATGACATGTTGATACAAATATAGTTAAAAGTGAAGGTGTTCCTGTTTACACTGGACCATGTGCTAAATAACCGTAGATAAAAATGTATCACATTGAGTTTTATAAATTATATACAGTAATTATAATATATAATAAAATATTATAAACTATATTTTAATATAAGATATTTTAACTAGGCAGAAAACTATGAGGAAATAATATTTTATCAAATTTATATTAATAGTTATACTCAAATTATGTTGATTTTAGTTTCTCTCTTGCGTTTTGTGATAATTCTCCGGCCACGGTCAGGACCTCTTTTTATTCATTTTTTTTGTTAAAAGAAAGGACTTTGGCGTTAGTCCCTAACAGTTCTCCAACACAAGTAATAAATACAATGGATAGTGGCCTATTGTAATTCCCCTATGCCACAACTATTTGTGCTAAATGCTCAGTTTTCCTCTGCAAATCAAGGCACCCTATGTCCCTACGTCTCTCTATAGCTGGAAACAAAGAGTATCGGAAGTGGTGATTTACACTGGTTTCTTCTTCCATCTCTCTGTTTGAAAAAAACAACTAAAATAATAAATAAAATGGCTACGAGCATCCTGTATCTCTCTAACTGCGTCTTCACATCCACTTATGCCTCCTACTAATTTTAATCCCTCCATATCCATTTTACCTCATATCTAAATGCTAGAGATTTCCGTTCATATGTTCCCCAGAGGAGTGTTTCTGACCGGTATCTGTTTCTCCTGCTACATGCATACATGCTCAAGCAAGAAGCAGAATGGGCTTTTATTCCGACTGGAAACATGTAATGGATGACAAACGCATATGGCTACAGACCTGGTTGACTAACAGAAAAATGACTCGGTCCTGGGGTCCTCCAGCTGTATCCTTACATCTTAGAGGAACTGGAAGCCAAGCTGTGTGTGCATGCGTGCGCGGACACGTAGTTATTGCTGTGGTCAAACGGTCAAATTGTTTTTGCTCCGACAGCCAGACTAAGCAGGAAGAAGCCAATCGATAGCACTTACCCTCTTCCTGTTAGCGCTCCCAACAGACGAGGGACAAAGACGCAGCCCTGCACTCGTCACTAGCTGTGTGTGTGTGTGTGTCTCTCTGCGTATACTTCTGACTACCTGTCTCCACACACTTATTGTGTCTGCGGCTGGGTAAGATTCAGTGCATTTATGTATTTGGAACATTAGCCCAAGGACACACTGCAGTGCCACGAAGGAGCATTTCCCTTGATGTATTGACTTCCATAGCGTCTCCATACCCGGAACAAAACTCCAGGTTCAACCTGTAAACCTCAAGTGAGAATAGTATCTTGAATAGTAGAGTATTTCACTTCTAAAGAGAAAACTAAAAGAGAAAACCACGCTGTACAGGGATCAATAAGTATCGAGTAAGTATTACGTGGTTATTGAGGCCACTCTACACACGCGTCCTTTTATCAGGCACAAACCAACCCAAGTGAGCCAATGTTCAGTGGACTACGTCCGGTGCTGTCCTTCCCCTTTGGGCTCCAAATTCAGGAAGCACATGTTTTACACAAATATCATCACTGCCATTGAAGGACAGGGAGCCAGTGAGCGCTGAGGTCAGATCAGCCCCCCTTTGGCTGATACACTGACCTCCGGCCCTTTACTGCGGGCGGAGTTTGCTTTTGCTTGTTTGTGCGCGTTGTGGTTTGACTGAAAATCTACTGCTGATTTAATCTTATTCGCAATAGTACTGTTTAATTCGATGTTCTAGTCCAGCATCAGTTCTAGTTTTTATTTGAACATACATCCACACGTATCGTAAACTGTTTAATTTAGGTGAACACAAGTTGAGCAAAACGCTAGATGATGTTTACTGCTGTGAGGTTGCTATTGTAGCTGTGCTTGTATACATTTTTGCATCTTGTTCCTTAAAGCATCAGCTTATATTGGAAATATAGCTGGCTAAAGATGGCTGAAAGGACATCTTCTGTATGCATAATCGTTGTATTAAAAGTTGTTGTGTCTACTCATCGGTCCTCAGATGAGACAGTGTGAGGATTGATTCTGTGAGGCTTCCCGTCCTTCTGCCCTTGACTGACCCGGGCCTGACCCGTGTTTGGGCCCTGAGCCTCCTCTCGGCCACTGCGTGGGCCTGTGTGTGTTTGTGCGTTTGTGTGTGCGTGCGTGGCCAAGCACGGGGTGGTGGGGTGTAATTTGAGCCCCGGGCTAGGACAGGACTGCTGCACGGCGCATCCAGGCAGAAAAAAAAAACAAGACATGGGAGCCGCAGGGTGGGCAGACACAGTGAGGGCAGGACAGCTGAAAGTAAGTAAGAAAAAGGGGGAGGTTGGAGAGGGAGAGAGAGGGAGAGTAATGGACAACGAGTAGTGAGGCTCTTTTTAAACTCGGCCTCCCTGAAAGAGAGATGTCAGTCTGTGTCAGTTTGCTCCACTAACCAGCCTGTGGCAGCAGAAACGGATCTCACCCTTCCTCCCTCCCTCTCTCTCTCTCACACGTTCTTCCTCTCTCTTTCTCCCCACACTCCCACACCATTCCCATCGACTCTCCTCTTATATCTTTTGGTGATAGGTTTTCTGCCTCAGTTGAGCGAGCAGAAACACCAAAGCTCAGGGGAAAACAGCACGACTACGTAAAAGACCAAGCGGCCAGCGAACCAGTCGTCTCTAAAAGGCGACCAGTGTGCAAGTGCGGGTCTCCTGCTGATCACACTTCGGGTGAATGAGAACGGGCTGTGGAGTAAAGACCCTCAAGGCAGGGCACGCCTCCGACGCGGCGTCTCCCCTCGGTGTTTTAAAGGAGGGCAGCACACAACTCTTCAATCACAGGGGGGATTAAATCTTCAAATCCCCTGGAAATGTCAGCCACGTTTCAAGAAATGTCAGTGGAGTTGAGAACGTGCAAACACACACCGGCTTGAGCGCGCACGCACTCCGGCACTTGCACCCAGCGTGGTGGAAAGAAAGGAGAACGGGGATATAGGGCAGTCGCATCCTGTGGGAGAAGATTCGCTTCATCTCCTTCATTTTAGCCAAATCTGGTTGAATGCCTCTGGAGGTATTTATTCCCAATAATGTTGAATTTACGATACGTGGCATTCTCACATGAATTAACATGCCGTGATACAACAATACGCCAGAGTAGTGAACGCTGCGTTTAGTGCATGAAGGTCTAAGGTCACTAAAAGTCTGTACGTTTTCTATTATATCATAACTTCCTGAAGTACACGATCGTTTAATTTTCCCTCTTTTCATACGTTTTATGAATGATTTTATGATTCATTTCACATCAAAACTCATCTGTAGAGCACTAGTCGTCCCCGGTGATCTAATCTGCAGCAACTGACATCATCCTGTGTTCCCATTGATCTATCCTCACCCCCGCTGAGTAACTTATCGACATCCTCAAGTGCATTTCCTGTCTAGACTGTCAGCGGTGTTTATGGATGGCCTCTGCCCCCGGTGACACACACACACACACACACACACACACACACACACAAACCCATGTGTGCACACCTACTCGGCTTATCGATGTATCCTTTCTCTTCTAACTCCCTCCTCCTCCTTAATGAATCTGCTAGGTGTTGAACTGCAGATGTTGTGCAGGGCTCAAGTATCGACGGACATAGACCTGATGAAAGAGCTTTTCCCCAGAGAGGCCACGGTTAGAGCACGATGAGTGTGCGCCTGTGTGTGTGTGTGTGTGTGTAAGAGAAAGAGTGACAAAGGGAGTTGCTGTGAAAGGGTGCATGTGTTTCTAGGTGATGTGCATGTATATCACTCCTTTCGTGTCACTAGCAAGCGATATAGAGTGCAGGGTAGGCTGCGTTTCCTGGGAGGTGAGACCTGCGTTAAGACGGCCAGTTGAGAGGCTGCCACTGTCTTGATTGACAAGCCTCTCTCTCTCTCTCTCTCGTCCACTCGCACACAAGCACCTGCACTTTTCCCTGGGTAGGCCCGTGGGCTCCCCTCTGCAGCTGTACATCGAGTTAGTGGGCATGCTATCCTCCTCACTGCTCTGTGATGTCTGCTGGCAGTCCTGCAACATCATCCACTACCAGCTCCCTCCTTACCGATTTAGAGGAGATAAGGAATTAACCTCCATTAGCAATGCCTCTCTAGATCCTTTTTGTTTTCGCCTCCCGACTCCTGCGTTGCATCTTGCGTGTCCCCAGTCCGTCCCTGCTCTATTCAAAGGGCATATATGAAGTATGTGTACAAAATAAGACACAGTACACAATTATATAGTGTTGTTGTTACGGCTTAGTTTTATCAAGTCCTGCTGTGGCATTGAAGAACTTCCCTACCCATCACCAGGTAAACATTTGTCCAATACTTTGGCTAAAAAATACCCGATAAAACAGTAATTGCCATAGACTTCATGTGCAAATGTCAGCATAATACCACTAGAGGCACTAATCCAAACCTCACTGGCAAAACATTAACGACATGGTCACAGAGAATGTCAGCATTTAGCTCAGAGCCCTGATGTGTCAACGTACAGCATTTAAACCTACTGGTCTCCTTAAGCTCATAACTACCCGATGGTTGAGTCCACAGTTACAAAGTTATGTAGCATGACGTGCTGTTAGCAATCAGGCCCCTCACTGATTAAATGGCCATAGATGAGTCATTTGGGAGCAATGATGGCAGCAGCTAAATACATACCATGAAAGCGTTGCTCTCCCAGCTTGTTCTTTAAGGCGCAGTCTGTCGAGTCTTACGTTCCACCATCTGCTTTGTGGAAGAGAGTAGCAACAGAATCCTAGTGATTAGGTCAGAAAGGCTCATTGGTGCTGACCCTAAAAGAGCCGCTCGGACACTTTCCTCTCTTTATCCTTTCGTTTACGGGTAAATATTCATAAACAAGCCCCTCATGTGTGCACTTTAGCTCAAACAAAGAGAAAAAGAGAGTTCAGGAAAAGACGGCACGGAGAGCAGTAAAGGTTCGGAAACCTGCAGGCGTGCGCATTGTGTTTTTCTGGAGGTAATCCTCAGGCTCAGACGTCCCTATTTACCTGCGCACTTTGTTGTGCTTACACCTGGGTTCTTAGGGATTGAGACTGGGGAGGCACACCTCACCCACGTCTCATGAGGAGGAGAAGATAAGTAGAGAAACTGGACGAGCCAAAAGTGCGTGGTAACAAACTCACACAAATACACTTCCGAATGCTTCGGCGCCACAGCCATTAACGAGAGTCTTTGGGTGAGTTTTAGTTGTTGAGAGTCGTGCGTTTGACTGCAGGTGGCTGCAGGTGGGCCGGTTCTGACCCGCAGGTGCGTTCCAGGCCAGCAGCCAGAGCAGGCTTCAGCGCCATGCCATGTGACGTGTTTTAGCCCGACTGTGGCAGGAAGCAGTGATGCACCTTCATGCTTATAAGCCTGTGTGTGCGTCTGTGTGTACGCACATACCCTCAAAAAATGAATAAAAAAGAAGCACTAACTACTCCCCCCCCCCCGGCGCCTCATGAGAAGTCATTAGGAATGTGTGGGTGAGTTTTATTTTTAGCCGTGTGTGTGTTTTAGGGGGGGTTGTGGAGTCTCGTCAGTCTTCAGGGCCCTCCTTTGCTCTGTCGCTGTGTGTCTCTGTCTCCAGCTGAGAGCTATGTATATTTCATCGGCCCGGGGCGCCTTTTTGTCTTAAGACGCACTGCGCCTCCCCTGCCTGTCTCTCTGCTGCTCTTCAGTTGAGGGAGCCGTCACAGCCTCTTTTAAACTCTCCCGCAGTTTTTGCTCTCTCTCTCCCCCCTTCTCCCCCCCCCCCCCTCTCTCTCTCTCTCTCTCTCTCCACACTGACAGTCACCCTCTGCTTTTTGCGGTCAGCTTGTCTCTCTCCTGGAGGCTCATCCCCCTTTCCGCTGTGGAGAGGAGCAGAGCGGAGCGCGTCCTAACAGACTCGGGCTGTCAGGAAAGCTCTTTCTCTTCTTCCCTCCGTCTTTGATTCTGTCTTCTGTCCCTCCGTCTGTCTGTTCGGACGGCCCTGTCACTTCAGGGAAGGGACACTTCTTCACCCAGCGATGCATCCCCTTTAGTTGTTGTCTTTTTATAGCACGAGTCTGAGTGCTGTGACAGCAGCTAAAAATGGTCGCGCAGCATCAGCAGTTAATTGCTATATTTGCGCCATCCGTGCTTTTTTTAATGTTTAATTATGATATCAGTATTTCGGGTGCACACTGAAAATGGAGGCATATTTTTGTTCTACATCATTGTAGGGGCACCCCTAATGTATGTAACCAGAGTCAGAAGCTGCACATATTCTAGTAGACTTCTATTGAGATGAAATGAGGACATTGTCCCACCAGAAGTCTTCCTTTCGTTTCTTGCATGTTAATTGTGTCTCTGTGTTTTTCAGGCATGTTCTGTGATTGAGAGTGTGGATGGAGCCAGTAAGGAGGTGGGCTCGAGGCCTTCGCAGCCTGCAGGGGACCACGCTCTTTCTCACCCGGTGACCTCGGAGCCAGAGAAAGACGACCGAGCCGACCGCCCTCTTTCCAGTGAGTGCAGCCTCCCCTGATGCAAGATCAAGTATTTTCATGGTTTATGAGCATTTGTTTTGTGTGTACGAGCCATTCACCAGGCTGCTCTCCTGTAACGTACTTGCTGTCTCTTAAAGTAATGCTTCCTGGTCCACTGGAAATGCTGTTGACAGGATGTGATTGTGGAGTCTTTAGCATTTTCCCCTCACGCTAATGTGACCGTGGACAGATGTTAGTACAAACCGCTGCAATTAGATATCCCCAAAGCCATTACAAGCAGCATTATTAGTAGTAAAGGTGTCAGTTGACAAACCATATCTGAATACACATCCCCTCACTTAACGGGCATCTTATCTCGGTTTCCTTTTTCCTGTGGGAGGTGTCCTCTTGACCCTGTTGTGTAGCAACGCAGGAAGCGTTGACACTCCTGCGGTGATGGAGATTGGACAGCGCTCACAGTCATTGGAGAGTTAAAAAAGTACTTTTAGTTGTTCTTTTCATGCTTGTGATGGCACGTCGTCCTCATTGAACTCTCCAACTACGCTCTTCAACCACCATTATATTCTATCTGCATATACCTGCGATGACAATCCCCACGTTACCGCAACTGGATTCACTCTTTGTTTTGCAATACGTGCTGCTGTGTGAAACCAGATGGAAATAATACTGATTTCCCTGCAGTTTGTTTTGCAAATGGGCCAGGGATCTGGTCCCTTCACTTCCTTTCAATGTTTTCGTCTTTAACTGAAGCTGCTTTAAATGGTCAACGATGCAAATCCAACCTGCCCACAAAACCTACACACAAAGACACACACACAAGTGAACACGCCCACACACCATGTCCCACTCTGTTTCTTATTCTATTGTTAATATGAGGTCCCACTTTCGGGACCAATGATCAGGTCGTTTCTTCCTTCAAACCAGGGCAAACGATTCCAGTTTTTAAAGTCATTTCACTCCCACCCTTTCCATCTACAGCATAGTGTTTGTCCAGATAGATGAATTAGCTAGATGTTTGGGATGCCAGTGAAAGACAAGATGATGGTGATCAAACAAGACTGCGAGAGGAGTTGGGAGATGGCGTGGAGAAGCAGGGGCAGACACAAAAAAGAAGTACCGTGCGAGTCTGTATGTGTGTGAGTTTGCCTCGAGGGAGGCCGCTACAGTGGGTTTGGAAGCTCAGTGCGTTTATGTAAAAAAGTGCTGCTGTCTACTCTTGTCAGTGTAGCCGGACTGCCTCTCGACTGGGTATCCATTACCCTGCTTACACCAGGATTCATACTTAAATAAATACAGCAGTTATGTAAATCTCATTTTCCTAATTGGCCACTCTCTATTTTTGCCTTTTTCTTCCTCCTGCTTTACCTTCTTCTTTTGCTCACCACATGTCCTGCTCACGCTACGCTCTCTCTTTTATCCCTCTGGCTATTCCTGTTTAGCCGGGAGGACCCCTGTGTCGTATACAGAAACTCATCTCAAGCTCTCTCTCCATCTGAACCGACGCACACACACACACACACACACACACACACACACACACACACACGTAGGCATGGCAGCTCAACCACAGCTCTCAGAGGCACCTGGTTAAACAGTCATGACAAAACAGGGTCACCGCAGACCCACAGACGCACGTACACGCGCAAACACTGAGCGTTCCTCCCAGCGGCCCGGTGTGGGTTGAGAGAGGGTTTCCATGACTTATTCAAGCGCCCCGCATGGTGCGCGGTGCGTTGCCGCTCGCGCCGACGCGACACGGCCCATTTCCTGCACTCGGGCGGCGAGAAACCTGACACGGGACGCGCTCGCGGTGTTCACCCAGAAAAGATAGAGGTGCACCGTCCGTATCCGGCCCCGATACAGTGAAGTGGAGCTGAAGGGGAAAGAATTACGTCCTTCTGTACACTGCATTGTGACGTGGAAGAATGCCTGTATTTAAATTCCGTGGATTTCCATAGAAACGCATTCGAGATCATTTCTCACCTCAAATGTCCCAACTTGTTACGGCCCGTCCGGCCCTATCAGACAGGAAACAGACGGTAGTGGGCAGGATGTGACATCGGGGCTGACCGCAGTGTGCTTCAGGTCTGGGGACTTGCACAAACATTTAATTTACATCAGCATTCACACACCTTCTGCATAGAGATGCAATATGTGGAGGGGGAGTAAACTATTTATGAAATTTGTACCATTGCGCTCTTATTTGTTGCACGGTTGCTACTCTGTTTCCACCGTTATTCTGTTCCCTCATCACTGCCTTCTATATCCTCAATGTGGTCCTATAGAGCAAGTGCCTCCAGAGATATTTATGTTTGTGTGCGTGGATAATCTGTGTTTCTTTAAATTACACGTGCGGAAAATGTGATCGTCATGCGATAGACTGCGAGTGTGTTTTGATTGCAGCAGCACAGCTGGACTTGGCAGACTCGGCGGTCTAATGCACTTGGCGGCCGGCCAGTTCAATACAATTACAATTAGCCCCCAGTGGGAGCAAGGAGCCCCGCTGGAGATGGCGTGTGGGTGATGGTTATGGCACAAAGAAAGGGTTGGTTCACAATATCTGGCAACCCGCCTTTGCTTTGAAGGAAGGATCAATATGTGAGTTGTTGCTTCAGGTACTGTGTTTAACATTTCCACATGAAGAGTCTTGAATGAAGCACACAGCAGTGAGGTACCACACACACACACACACCTAATAGGACCCAGTCGGTCCATGAAAGGGTGATTACAGCCGCCTGTCCTCGTATCTCTCGTCCAGAGAAGAGCAGTGGTGCTCGGGGGTGGGGAAGCATGGCGAGGGGACACAGAATGGAGAGATGACAGGGGATGTGTTTGGAGAGAGAGATCAGGGGGTGACGGAGGAGGCATGGAGAGGAATGCTGCTGCTCCCTCCCCCCCGTACCCCCCTTCTCTTTTCTTTTTTCCCTTTGTCCCCTTCAGGGGGATGACAGGAGGGTGGGCTAACTTCGAATGGCAATGACAAGCTTGCCACCGCTCCCGTGAAGCACAGCAGATGGAAGTGTGTGTGTGTGTGTGTGTGTGTGTGTGTGTGTGTGTGTGTGTGTGTATGTGTGGTGTGTGGGGGGGGTACGTGTAAATGTACGTGCGGTTTAAAATGCCACTGGTGACCAGGGTATACAGCGTTTCTTGGCAGTGCCGTGCTTGGCAAAGCGCCACCCCCCCCCCCCCCCCCCCCCCCTCCCCCCCCTCAGAGTCGGCAGAATGGGCGTTGAGGTGTGTGTGTGTGTGTGTGTGTAATGGGAATGAGTGGTTGGTCATACACAATGCTTTGATACTGCACTCCCATGTGTCAGAGTGTGTGTTTTCATTCTCTTTCTTCTCTCGTTAGATGGGAGAGGGGGAGCAGGCAAGCTGGATGGCCTGTGTGGTTGTTTGTTCATCCATCTATTTGAGTAATTCAGTAATGTAATGATCACAGGCCTTTTTGGAGAACAGAGCTCTGTTCAGCAGTGTGGCGCCAGTCCTGGCGGGCATGGGGGAATTAGTCAGGAGACAGTGGGTTTGGCACTCTGCCTTGGTTATTAGCCACTCGCAGGGTGGGCACGGGGGGGTTGCGCCCCGAATCAATCGCTCGCTGTGTCGTGTTGCGCGTGTGCGGCACATGTGTTTGTGCGTGCGTGTCTTTGCGTGTCTGCCGTTTGAGTCCGGATCCTCCTCTGGTCATACTGACCTTATTGTGCAATCACTTCTGGCTGGATTCGTACCCTTTGCAACGCATTCCCCTCCCTGGCTCGCTCTCGTCTTCCCTGCGGATGGGTTAGATTTAGTGAGTGTGGTTTTTCCTTGTAGCGTGTGGGAGCCAGAGAGAGTAGACTTAGGGAGAGACCTACGGATTCACAGCCAGCGGAGCATGTCATTGCTCGGCCACAGCTCATGGGCTGATACATCAGCAGGCTGGAGGGATGATGGACGCGAGCTGTCGCCGTTCAGGAAGTAATAAACCTCTCTTCATTTCGTGGCCTTAATTATTTCCTTAGCAAGTTGCATTAATTGCGCTGAAATGGTGACATCAAAAAGCTCCTGCGAGAGCGTTATGCTATTCAAGGCGGAATATTTGCCCGCATTTCATGGTACGTTTATTAAAACTCAAATTTGTGCAACTTTGACCAAATAATTCCCCTTTTGGCTTTTGGGGAGAAGTTTTATTTAGGACCTGGTGAGGCCACCTGATGTGAGGTTAATGGAGCGAGCTCAGGTTACAGACATGTTTAAGCGGTTACCCTGAAAAAATGACCACTTAGTGAGAGACCCACAGACTGACCTTCGACCTCACGAAGGAAACCGGTGTTCAAGCAGGATTAAGCCTGATTGCCTGCACACTCACAGCTGTTTTAATCTTTTTTATTTGTTTATTTACCGCAGACAATGTAGTACAGTACCACAACTCACCACAACCGCAAAAGAACTAGAGACGAGCCAATCAATATCTGCAGTGTTTTATACAGAGGAAGATGTATCTTAAAAGCAGCGTTATTTACACAATAACGCAGTTTTCTCCCTCCCAATGACTACAATCATCCCTTTCTCTCACCCAGCCTCCCTGTCTCTTCCTCCACCCTCTCTCCTCCTTCCTCTATGCTCGTCGTTCCCTCTCTCCTTCCCGCCCCCCTAAACTGTCCTCCACTGTCAGGCGACTTGGCTTAGGCTAAGTGCTTTTTGCTGTCTCTGCAGGTGGGACTTAATAAAGCCTGTCAGTGAAAGACATGGGTCGCACTGTCACGTGCTCTCTGCCTCCCCTCCGATAATTCCCTCCACTCTCTCCCTCAACCAGCCCCCCCCCCCCCCCCCCCCCCGACACCGCCAACCCCCCACACACACTTACACTCACACTCACACACATGCACCACTCTCCTCAGAGATCCCTTTCTTCTAATTTTCCCCGCTCATTTCTCTGCCTCTTCTCCCCCATTTCCTCTCGCTCTCTCACCCAAAACTGTGCTCCTTGACTTGTCTCCCATCTCTCTTTCTGTACCTGGTTTCTTTGCCAACACCACTTT